CATATACACTCATACATCTATATACATATCAAATATTATACAAGCATAAACGTACATTAGAGATACACATATATACGTATACATGTATACATATATATATATATGTGCATATATGTACATATATTCCCATTTCATAAATACATATACACATACACATACACATATATACATATTAAATTTTATGTACAAGCCGTAATGTATAAATACATGAAAGCAGAATGCGGGAAGAGTAGGTATATACTGTTTACGTTGAAGTACTTCAGATACAATCTAAGAAAAAGAAAGGAGGCACGATGCACAATTGTTTGTTTTCCATGTTGCTTCTTTTTACTTCGTATACGAGGTCCACAGTCACAACCTCACAATGCCCAGAGACCAGAGGCCGCAGCACCCCACCCGGCTGACGCCTGTCGCCTCGGCTTGACGTCTGACGCCTGACTGGTGGGTGAGGTGACTGCTGGAGCCAGCGACGCCACACTATCACAGTTGTATCACTGTTGGATTTTGTAGAAAAACAATTATTTAAAAAATATCAATTCAAGTACGTACAAATTTGTTTCTAAAAGGTTACAAAAAAAAATTGCAGAGTTACCCGCATGTGGCCTTGAGGGCTGAGGCATGAGCCTTGAGATCAGATTCAGGATTCCGGGGTTCGCTAGATATTTGTGTAAATATCGTCCAATGAATTTCTAAGTATTAAACAATATAGTAAAGTACTATTCTAGATTCTAGGAATTGTTCCAATATACATTTAAAATACGGAAGTATGCTCTAACCAGCCGCCCACGCTTAGGCGGCTGGTAGGCCGCCCGACGGCCGACGGCCGACAGTGACCGTACATAGCCTTTTTGGTTTTTTCAATGGTTGGTTCTTTTTTTTTAAATAATATATAATTTAAATATGTACAAAACAAAATGTTTGTTTTTGTAAAATATGATGAAAGTTTATAGACTATTCTGAAAACAGAAACTGAAGGGGGCAGAGGCTCCAGAGCACCTGATGAGGTAAATATTTGACGAATATTGTTTTCAAAACTAAATACTAATGTTTTAATATGAAAAGATTAAAGAACAAAGAGTAAAAGAAAAGCTGAAAAGGAGACTCAGATACAACCACCCAACTATTGGAGAATGGTTTATGTATGGCCAAAGAATTTACTCTTCGGTTAGCATCATATTTTTCTTTGTTCTGGTTCCCGATTGATCTAGCCATTTAGGTGTACACGATATGGCAGGTATTGGTCAAATCTTTATTCCTTACACAAGATGTTTTGTTCCATTGGACCGGCTCTTGAGAGAGATGCTTCAAACCAATATGTGTCAGATAGATACAAGAAGCATAACAACCTGATAGTAAACAGACAGGCTGGTAAAAATTAAACGTTCCAGTTCGCTTCTCTTCTTTCAAGCACTTGTTATAAATACCAAGGTGATGTGTACAATCATTCTCATACAGTTTGTACTGTGAAATATTGAGTATACAAACTTTTGGTATTGGGTATACAAAAAATTTCGTTCACACATAGTTTGACAATTGCGAGTTTAGTAAAGAGGTTATACAGCAGATAAGTAGAATATGGTGGCGTTATCATCATTCGCAGTAACATTGTGTGCTTTAGTGGCATGTGTACACGCACAGCCTTCACCGGCGAGTCCCGATCCACGATTGGACTCTCGTTTAGTCAACCTAGAATCTCAGACTGGCTCAGATGACAGACCCTTGGGCCAGGTTATTGGCATGTCGACACTATTATTGGCGTCTGACGAGTATTCGTCTCGATTGCCTCTCAGTGTGTTGCAAGGGTATGGCACAACATACGATATGTACATCAACGAAGTACCTGATCTACTAGTGCCACACTGGCATGCTATTGTTGTGACAGATACGTGGTTTCCCCACATTGAAGAAGTACGAGCTTACGCGAGTGAGTACGGAATTCGTATGGTTGTGTTACATTCAACACCTAGCGATATCGACACCAGTCATCTGAGAGTAGCAGCTGATGAGACAAAGGCAACACATGTAGCCTTTGATGCTAGCCCTGTCACCGCCGACATTGCAGACGTGATGAACATCAATGGGGTATGGGCTGTGGATGAACTACAGGCTCAGTCAATATCTGCATTAGAAGGAAGTGAAATTATCACATTCATGCGTTATATTAATGACACACCGATAGCTGGGGCATCTGAACCAGTCGCCGTGATTAAAGTCGACTCTGTTCCAGCCGAGGATGAACTTTTGGTGCTCACTGACGCTAATCCTGCAAGAGGTAGTGCACGCCGTTCAGCCGAGGCAAAAGGGCCTGTCTCCACTGGTAAACCTGCTGCATTCATAAGCAAGACTGTCGCAGGCACAGAAGAGATGCATTTCAGATTCAGTGCGAATACCGCGGCTATCGACGAGGATTTGAGACCGAGTTACGTCATGCCAACGACCTTCACACACTTCAACTTGGCTCTTGGTAATGTTTGGTTTAATTGGGTAACGAGAGGTCTATACCTGGGGCAGCGAAGAATATCACTGGGGATACATATCGACGATTGGTTTATTAACACCCAACTACTCGACACCGAAGAGATTTTCCGCATCTCAGGCGAGGACGTTGAGATTGCAGTACAGTGGAAAGAACAATTGAAGAGCATACTACCTGCAGGTAGTATGGTAACTCTGGAACCAGCATTCAATGGAGGTGGCATAAAGATGTTCGGTATTGACGAGAGCGATAATCTGATCAATGCCTCCAAGCAGCACGTAGACGAGTTCAACTGGGTATCGCACACTTGGACGCACCAGAATCTGGACTGGTTAGAAGCAGTAGAGTGTAATAATCTAGAGAAGGAATGCAATCCCGATGCAGACCGTTACACAGCAGAGTTAAGCTACAATATACGTGTTGCTGAGGGTCTCGAGGTGGACAATTATGGCAGCCTCGTGCCAGTGTGGGAGGGAAATGAGATGACCCCGGCGGGAATCATGCCGATGAATACGACTTTCTCGCGAAACTCATTGGTAACTCCAGAGATATCTGGGCTTTGGCCTGCAAGCTATGATAGCACCCCTCCTGCCGGACGTAAGGCTTACAACAAAAACGAGTTGCTGCATAAGGCTTTTAAGGCGAATGAAATTTACGCTGTTACCGGAGACAACTCCAGACCAGAATTGAGCGCCAAAAATCCCTATCATGGTATGATCACTACTGCCAAGCAATATGGCGTCGCGGATTTGCTTATCATGCCCAGATACTCGCCCAACATCGCGTTCAGTTGCAACTCCAAGGCGTGCTTGACGCACTACTATGACGATTACGGTGCGTGTAGCTTTGTAACGTACGGTCCCAGTTGCCCTGGTAAGAATATGACAGGTGATGCCATCCTAGAACGCGAGGCTAAGACAGCTACGGTACCCCTACTACAGTATAGGCACGATCCATACATGTTTCATCAGGCGAATGTGAAGGCTAACGAGTTCCGAGGTGGACAAGCACCTTTAGTTGGGCAGTGGATGCAACTGGCAATTGAGGATCTATTGCAGTACGTCAACAAAATGCCAATTGTGTCAAGGAAGATGGACGATCTAGCCGACCTATACAGGAAGCGCATGTCGCAAGATAACGCGGATATGAAGGCTTATATCCAATTCGACACACTGGGAAACCTCATGTCAGTAGATATACTGTCAGAGAATGACTTCGATGTTACGCTGACTATCAACCAGGCCTCCACAGCTGTGGCGATTGTTGATGAGGCCGACGTCACCGAAGTGCACGGATTAGATATGAACTTATACAAGAAGATATTTGGAAATTCGGTGAACCGCTTCAAGATGACCGGTGTGTGGTGAGGGGAGAAATTACGATTTGTACATGGCAAACAATAGTAGATAGCATAGATACACAAAAAAAGAGGCCATAGAGTCCGCTAACAATTAAGGCGCACGACCAGGTGGATTCTACCCTTTCTTCTATTTCCGCCGATCTGAAATTCAATCAAGACGATCAAAGACAATGCGCCAACTGCAGGGATCATACACATATCTCAATACACCTGTGCTCGAGGCACAATTGCGGATAGCTACTGCATAAACAAAAAAATAATGAAAAGAAATTTATATCAAATGGTCATACTCGTACCCGGACTAGACTACTTGTGATGGAACGAGCTTTATATAGCTTTATATAGTCAATGCGTTGTGCAACGCATTTTTAGTTCGCTAAGTTTCGTGGGTCTTCAATCCCATCAGCTTAATTGTGTATATCAGCAACCATCCACAAAACTGACCGGTGTCCATGCATAGCCAAAACCTATTGCATCGTCAGCCTATACACACCCCTTCGGTGCATATCTCTGATTCGACGATCAGGTGTCATCTCGCAGTGCGCCTCAGTATGATACTTGCCGTGACTTTGTATCACTCTCGGCTACGACTGTGATGCTTTTGCTCTACCACAATTACGTTCTGATGCTCGGCTAATCGGACTGATCGAGGGGTCGAGTGGAGTGCAACCTTGGTAGAGAATGGTGCACACATTCCGAACGTCATGCCTATTTGATGTGCATCGATGTAAGTACTAGTTCACATGAGCACTGTGGGTGTACAAAGGGACTCGGGTTAAGCCCCCTCAAGCGGAGGGAAGAAGAAGCCCATGCATGCATCCGGTTGTGCAGCAGGTCAACGTTACTATTAGGTGTTAATCGACATATATTGCATCAGATAGACCTACCACTGAAAACAATTTTTTTTCAGATGGGACAAGTTTGGTACTGTATTTTTGTGCGTCGGACATTCATGGTTCCTGGCCTCCGGCGGCCAGAGCAAAAGTCAGTTCTTGTCCATATAGTGACCTAAGTATATCAGCATTGCAGATTTTGGAAATTATCATCGCGCAAATGTGCGCGTAAGCCCAAGAAGTATACTTAGCCAGGATCACACACTGACCTCTAGATAGGCACTTCTCAGGAGCTCGGAAAGAGCCAGTTAGTCTGATAGCGGCTATATGATCGGTCACGTATCAGGACAGCACCCGCTATACCAATATACCACTATACCACGCACAAGAGACCATGTAGACACGAGTACGGCGATTTTCACACGCCGGATTATTGCTACCAGCGTGGTGCCTACGATGACAGCTCTCCAAAGGGCTTCCGCCCGGTGGCTGGGCGCGGTCGTTTAGAGTCACTTGTCGGTTGCGGAGTTGGTTGCAGCGCTGTGAAAGGTCTTTTGGGGACGCACCCAGATATCGCGTTCTCATCTGCACATCCGTAAATTAGGGTAGAGGTTTCAGCATGACGTCACGGGGATATGCACAGTTAGAGATAGAACTCAAGGGTTTGTACAGAGATATAACACATACAGATACCCAAGTTGCTCATAACCCACGGTACTCATTCGAGTGGTCAAGGTTTAATAAATCTTATACAAAGCGCATTGCACGTGCTGCGACCGGTTTAATAACTGTGACCAATAGCTCCATTACATTTACATTATTCCGATCACTACTTCCAGTCTGACCAAGTACAGTACCTTGTGTAAGTGCATTTGGTCTGCTGTGGATTTGCGCAGCCAATACCGCCGGGCAATTCTCATCGTTAGTCACCTCACCACGACTGTTTTCCGTGGATATAGCCCCCCCCTTCCTTGGTCCTGCGTGATCTGTCCTGATTGCTCTGATTTGAAGCCGAGCTGCCCCGATTTTCTTGATTCCGGTCTGGTGTTTCCTGAGTTTTATCCGAGGTTTGTGAACCAGTTTGTATGGGGTCGGCTCGGGACTTCTTCTTCATAGCCGACAGTTTAGCCTTAAGTACACCATTGGCACGTTCCATATTCTTAGCTGTGGTGATGAGGGCCAGGTAGCGCAATTCCTGTTGCTCGTACTTGGCTGTGAGAGTGTCTGTAGAGCAGAAGGGGAGAATCAAGGTGTGACCACAAATCAGTACATATGGCGGAACGAACTGCAGTCACATGTATGTCTAGAGAAATACCTCACATACTCATACACTGAGTTACAATCGGGCACACGTATGAGCGTACCAATAGACCAAACTAATAGACCAAGAAGATTCTGAACCGCCGCATAAATTCGTATGTGTAGAGCCTTTCGCTCGTAGTAACTGTAGAAAGCAATAGCAAAAGGTACAGATATATAACCGAAGGTGCTCTCGGAAAACAATACACGGATGACATCGGAACACTCGCACAACATACATGCACAGCTAACGCACATTTTTCAAAAGAGCGATAGTGTACTCGTACAACTACAAGGATGCAATGCCTCGTATTAAGCGCATCATTACGTACATCACCCGCTCTCACGATTAGATTATCTCTTTACCACCGCAATGCAAACATAATTGATACGAGCGTACGTACAGCTACTACAAAAACCAACGTACAATTGGCATACACGCACCTGCGACTGCGGAAAGCAGGAATCTTTGCGATGTTGGTGAATCATCGATACAATACGCATACAGGTATATACACTCGCGCATACAAGTACAAGGACATAGATGTAAACGCCACCACCAAATACCACTTAGGCGCTCTCCGAACAACTTCGACTCCTCCGATCTATCTCATGCAATACATATTGATTCATTAAGCTCACCTAGTTGCTCTTTGTAAGTAGCGGCTTCCTTACGCGCCACTGTTGATTGGTGTTCCAATTGGCTATCCGTGTCTATTCGGCTGTCACGGTCCGACAGCAATGCTTCTAACTTTTTTTGGTAGTCCTTCGACTCTCCTTGTGACGTTTCCAAGTGCACCTATGTATTGTAGAATGCGTCATATTTAACAATGTATCTGATACGAATCCACAACGAAAAACATTCAAACGCGTTATGAGATGCCTCGGAATTGTATGGAACTGCAATATTAACACATCTCTAGCCATTCGACATCTGTTTTGACCGCGCTTGTGGCCGAACGCACTGAGGCAGGTTGAAATCTTAGACCTCTGGTACCATTATCAGTGCTCATACTTTCCTAGAGACATGTATGTATATGCAGGTATACATATATCCACACACATTAGTGGCAGTGAAACCAAAATTTTGGAGCTGTGTCTCTGGCAGCTCACACGCGACCGCCGCGCAATTCAAGCGACTTGGCATCCATGCACCTCGAGCTCTACCAACTCTGAAACGTAAACGTGTATACGTACACACACACATATATATATCTATATATATATATATATATATATATATATATATACTAATACACTACTTCTACAATCCAGCTCAACCCGCGATTGTTTAAGCTGTGTTTGTAGTCGCTCGCACTCAGCCGCTTCGCCCTCCAAGCACTCTTTAAGGGAATCAACATCCGTCTCCGAATTCGCAACCCTTTCCTGCAACGCTTTAGTCTGGATGGGAAGTGCGATTGAAAGGTATAGCGTAGCATTGCTGTAAGTTTCTATAGGATCGTTCCCGTTTGATGACACCGAAGTTAGTTGTCTGGTCAAAAGGAAACTCCTACCCACATGCAAATTAATACACCAGAATACATAATAACATCGGACGCCACACGCATACAAATAACAGAGCCATACCTTGACAAGCTCTGCATCCAGCAGCTTTGTAGCTACAGCCTCTGCCTCTGTGGCCGCGACCATACTGTCTCGTAGCTGATGTGATATTACTTCTGTGTTAGCCACGGCAGCACTGAGCACAGCCAGTTGCTGCTCAACCTGTATCATCTCGCGCTGAGAGGTGTCTAAACGTTCCATAGCCGCGTCCCTCTCCTGTGGTTGGTTGTGATTTCGTACACATACATATTCACATGTTCGTATGTCAGCAGCTACTATTCTCATAAATACATGCAGTTCTATGGTTTGCCGCTTTGCTGTTAATTAACCTCTTCGTCGTGTTTTAAAAATGAATCATACAATTCATTGCTGGGGCAAGATGTCTGTATATCCTTGTTAATTCCGGGAAGATGCCAAAGCCCCACGACACATGTACATATATAAACACATGCGCATACATACCGTTCGCATCCCAGCCAGAGCCTTCTCAGCATCTGCGGAGATTTTCTTGGCTTCTCCCTCTTGTCGTACTGCGTCAGCGGCGTCTAATTGTACTTGCTTGTCGGTGGCAGCCTTCAGCTCGGCCTCCAGCGCTGCAATCACGGCCGACTGGAGAGTATCAGAGTGATTCCAGTGAGTGAACGTTGCCTACGTGTGCTAAAAACAGATCGGACCCTCGAAATACAGTGCAGTGCAGTGGGTGTCGGCCAGTCGTTAGTGTCGCATGTGCTGTAATTTCGCATATTTGTTGAGAACGAATATAGCCGCGTGTACCGTCGAACAGCCATCGCTCCTTGTTCGAGCCCGTTGGTGAAAGTCACAATCCCAGCATACACTGATTGCACCCTGAATATTGGTGTTTCATCAGAAACGCAGGCACTATTCACCTCAAGCAACACTACCCATCCCGACTTGTCCTGACCTGTCCTTTGAACTTGGACGGAGATCATTATTCGGTAACATATCCCAGTCATCTAGCTAGACTTTTATTCCTGCTGAGCCTCTCTCATCCCAGGCGATAGGGAACACATAGGGCACAACACATACACACTCGAAAACACATCAATCACGCCAACCTGACAACACCAGCACGGACCATGCCACCCGGCGTATCCGTACATGCACGCCCTAAATATACACACCTAACATACCACTGTGTACTGATATGTAGTGAAGTCGAAGGTATCCATCAAATCGAATATAAGCATGCTAGCAGATATAGCTGTACATACACGTTCCAAATATACACACCCAACTGATCACTGTGTTCTGTTATGTAGTGAAGTCGGAGATATACACTATATCCAATATATGTATGCAAGCAGATAAATTCAGCTCAGCCCAAGCTAATTCAGCATAGCATATAAATATATACAAATATACGCGTACATACATGTGAATATACTAACGCATATTATGAATATCAAAATTCATTATACACTCACGTAACCCGTCTAAGGTCCTATATTCACGAATAAGCACTCACCCGTTGCTCCAAAGCGGTCTGCTGTGTATTGCGAGTTTCCTCTGCCGCCTGGAGAGCTGATTGGGCGCGTAAAAGCTCCAAAGATATATCCGAACATCTGGCAATTAGTGGTGCATAGGTACAAGAGTATACGCAATACAGTCGTCAGTGTGTATATTTAATAGCGTGCGTGTTGTAGAACAGTTCCGCCATTTCTGGATACTAGGCCTGTCGCTAGAGCATTATCGCAATTGGTATATCAGCCAGCGTAAATAACCGATATTATGACAAGGTCTCTTACCATCTGATTAGAAGGAAAACACGTGTCGCATTAATTGGGTAGACATCCTTTTACAGGGGCAGTGAGCTGTACAACCATTTGATATCAACCACCAAGATGAAAACTAAAATTCGGTCAGTAATTATACGATTTGACCACACACCTTTGCCAGTACATGCCACGTACATAGTGGCAGAAAATTATCATTAACCAGCTTGGGTGTGATTCACCAAAATTTTGTAACGTAGAATCAACCCCCGCACGGAAAGCAATGTGGCATGTCACTTCTCAGCCACTGCGCTACGAACAAGTGCGTGCCTTCAATTTGCATATATACAATACTACACACACATACACACACACACACACACACACACACACACACACACACACACACACACACACACACACACACACACACACACACACACACACACACACACACACACACACACACACACACACACACACACACACAC